TTGAACAATAAAGAAAAGACCTTCATTCATTTGTATGAATCGACATACTTTCAAATTTAACTTGCATGTAAAATTTCAAATTCTATATTTTTTTCTAATTACATGTATTTTAAGCAGCTTACAACCGTGTTTTGTTTCTACATGTCTGACATTTTATCCATAATGAAGAAGGAAATGGATTAGTATAATGTTTTTAAAACTAAATTGTTTCCGACTCCTTTTTGATTTATCTATACTATACTTGCCTGAATTTCTGCTCGTCATTTTAAAATAAAATATGTTTTAAACTAAAAGACGTACATTCTCTGCAGTACTCGATGAATCTATCCCCATCATAAAACGTGTATCTAAGATGTGAATTTTATCAATGGTAAAAACTTATTAAAAGAAACTTAAAATCTCTCTCTCTCTCTCTCTCTCTCTCTCTCTCTCTCTCTCTCTCGCTCTCTCTCTCTATATATATATATATTTATATATATATATATACTATCAGTGTATACTTGTTTCAAAATGCATTTAATAAAACATGCTTATAATGAAAGCAAATGATAATTTTTTTTTTTTTTTTTTTTTGCTTTGCTTTACAAACATGACAAACATCTTCACAGTTTTTATTCCTCCATTTTCTCAGACAACAATTTTCAGCGGTAAGCATTATAATACATGTATGTACAATGTTAATATGTTCCTGACGAAATATCACAGAATAGCTATATAGACACTATATGTTGATAAAGAAAATCAATAGTATCAGACCATGCCGTTAATTTTTATAGCTTGATAAACCGTTATATCGTGGTGTATATCATTAACAATTATGAATATTCATGATGCATGTAATTGATTTTAAATATCTGCTAAAGCGTTTTTAAGTGCTTAACAACTTGTTGAATTAGAGCGCATTAGATGCATTAATTAATTTCACACCTTGTGCCTTTTTTTCTATCACAAGATGTGGATTTTTGATGTATGATATGCAAATACATGAAATGTACATTAATTTCATAATCCAATTAAGAGAAAAATGCGCTTTTAAAGATTTTTTTTTTTATCATAGTAAATGCTGTGGGTTTTTTTAAGGATGGTTTATTCTTCAAATTTTAAATTGTATATCTGTAGATTATATCGTAAAGATATTTTATAATTTTAAAAGATGCATAAATAAATCAGTTGAATGTATTAAGCACACGTGCATAGCAAATTGCATTTCTATCAAGGAACCCGAAGCATGTCTTTCATCTTTCTGCGTATCAAACGATCTACTTAATTGAAAAATTTAAAGGTGTAACACAGTGCTGTTGTGGTCCATATTTGCAAGATTCTTAATCATCTTATTTCACACCAAATTAAGTAGCTTTAAAAACAAAGGGAACTCAATGACACGAGGAATAACACATCAAGAATAAAATTTCCAATCGCTACACCTTTTTCTCTGGTTTGTGCCCCCCTCCAGAGCGAATTTATTTCACAATAAATCAGTGTTTTTTGCTCGGAAGCTGAGTTGAATTTCGATAATGCAGGCTGCTTCAAAGCTGTTCTGTATCTTTAGGCATGACCTTTTGTAATTGGAAAAACTTCTAACGATTTCATAAACGTCACGCTTGATTATGTGAAAAATCAACCACTAAATGTTTGCCTTTACGGGAAAAAATTATGACTAAAGGGTCGAATCGAAGAGATTTTCTGGTTATTAAAATCGCACATTTTAAGGAATTAATTCAAATTAAGTTTTTTTTTTTCCCTGTTACTGAGAAGTTGAACGAAAATAATTACAAAGGAAAGGGTTGTATGAAATATACATTTATACAATAATTCAGAAAATAGAAGAAAAAATTATTAGGTCTTATTAAGACCGTAAAATGTGAACAATGATTATGAATCTGATAGCGATCTAGAACCAAGAACGAGTTACTATGTCCCGATGTCCCCTCCCACAACAGCGCTGGGTTGGAAACCACGTTTTGACACAGACGACAATTCACAGCGGGGGAACCATTATCTGTTATGTGTTTATTCCATGGAATATTCTTTGGCATCCTCTACTGCACTAAGAATCGGTCTTGCAGAAATTGGCATGGCGACTTCTGCTGTCACGTGCCATGGGTCCAATAAATGTTTGTTAAAGCTTCCGTAAGTAATATAGCGTTATTATATAACTAAATGGACGAGTAAAAGATTGGAGGGCACATCTACGTTTCTCTCTGTGTACCTGAAAAATTGGCAAAGACAATTTAAATAATGAATGTTTGGATTTTCCATGTTTCAAAATACAATTTCTCTGCAATACACAAGTTCAGTGATACTAATTTATATAATTTCTTCTTCTTTAAAACAACCACAGCTCTTGGAATTAAAATGTATACAAAAAAAAAACATTTCGCATATCTATTGATGTATAACTTTCAATTTCAAAATAACTATATATATAAAGAGAATTTTTGTTAGTGGCATCTTTCCAAATTTGTCATCAAACTCTCCGAAAAAGGAAAAGGCTCCCGCGCGCGAGTTCTGATGAGCAGCAGACGAGCAGACACAAGTGTCAATACGATTTTCTTCTGATCGGGTGATGTAAATGAAGACTTATGTCAAAGGCGAGTCCGCTGTAACAACCTAATTTACCAACGATAAAGCTCACCAAATCCCTGCATTTCCTATCTCAGCATTGGACAGACTCGACACGTCACACAAAGGCACTAGTTAGCGCCATGTCCCTTTCGCGGTAGTTATACGGATGGATGCTCAAAGCGTTAATGAATCGAATCAATTGATTTTTTCCCCTTATTTGATATTCCAGTTTGAGGGCGATATTAGGAAAAGAAATACATGTTTCTTTTTTTACTAGCTTTCTTCATGTGTCTGCTGTGAGGCTGTGAACGACATTTGCATAATTAAGAGAGGTTAAAATTTGCATTATAGTTTGGGTTTTTTGTTATTGACATAAAATTCACAATGTTTCACTTCTGTAATATGTCTCAGATAGAAAAATGAAATAGAATCATAAATTTATTTTCTATGTTTATAAAGTGGTATATTATTAGGCTTTATATAGTCTTTGATTGGCCCAAAATCTATCCTTGCCTACCAAAGGTAGGTAGACAATGATACCACAAATGATATTAGAAAAAACACACGAGGAATGGCTATATTGCATCAATGTGCAGATTTCATAATGGCAGAGATTATGAATTAAGTGTGTGGCTGGCGAATTCAAGATGGTGTCAGCAATAAAATATTGTTTAAAAAATGGATCAGAATTCGACCTCATGTTGCACACTGCACAAAAAGATTTGTTCATCAACGGTGAGGATACATATCAAATGTTTCTAGGTCTTTTAAATCGTAAATGACGGCTTTTGAACGACGTTCTGGGACAAACCATTCTGCTTCAAAAACCTTACTCTAGCCCAGCGATTTGCTGCGATTTTCATATAAAATGTAAGAGGAGATGTTTTTTAATCATGGGGATATTAAACACCTCTGGTAATTCTACCTACCCGCAGTCTCCAACTCATAAAACAAGATCGCAGGGTTTTTCTTCCTCCCTTCGCCTAAAATCACAGCTTCTTGGTGAAAATAATGGTCTATAATAAGATCTGTGTCTTCAGATGATACGCATGCAGTATTGAGTGATTCGCTAAATTCTATAGGTATCTATTAATGTTAGTTATTTGTTTGTTTGTTTTTTAACTAGGATAAAAAAAAAATTGGATCTCTCGCAGTGCGAATCAAATTATATATCACATCGACTTAAATTGCTGAATGACATAGGCGGATTGCAGACCAAGATTGGAAATTATATAGCCAGCTAAATTATAGTTCTATTAAATGTATCAAATTTTTATATACTTTTGGGGGGATGGAAATGTAACTTTTCGTTATAAAGGAATTACGAGCTTTTAAGTATAATTTGATAAGAAAAAAAAAAACCCGATTATTCTGAAGAAGAAAAAAAAATTACTTTAAAAAAAAAAAAAAATACTAATTTTATTTCTTTTGTTCTTGGCTAACAATTCTTTATCGTAAGTGCAAATATAAATGCATTTCTTCCTGACAAAAAATATTATGCACAAAGTTCACTTTTTTTTTTAAATCATCAAGAAAATAAAACATCATCCATTACAATCTAACAAGTTTGAGAGTACAAAGGCAAAAAACTTTTAAAATATAGAAAAATTTATCTAGATAAGTACCAACTATCCTGGCACGTACGGACCGTATACATGCCGATAGGAATAAAATGGGGGAAAATGTGTGGTTTGATAAGAAATAAACTATGTATATTGTTGAGAGATTTCGCTTCACTGAACGAAAAATGTGAAATCTGGCTTGACAGACTCTCGGCATTTATAAATTTTCTGTTCGATTATTACCAACGAACGAGATGTGTTTGTAAAATCAAACTCATAGAATGGGAGGGAAAATGCTTCTGTGTGTTACATCCATTATATATTTATCTAGGGGATGTATTCTTAATACATTCTCTCTCTCTCTCTCTCTCTCTCTCATTTACCTGAGTTAAACTTTCCTTACTACCGGTGCGACTGCTTTGATGTTCATCCAAGCGATTGAATCAAAATATATGATATACCTGCCGTCTCATTTTTATTATTAATCCTCGTATCGAGACACATGTTTACGTTTCGACAATTATTGCACATAATTTACACAAACCCATCTCTCACAAACTTTCACGATCTTGCCATATTTGCCAAACATCACGCGGATTCTGAAGAAGCTCTAATTTCGTTTATTCTAATTTTATTTATTTCAAATTCAAACAATAGAAAATGTTTGTTTAGGGACAATTTAATTATCGAGTCGCACATGGCCATAAACACTGTCCTCACTATCATCAGTCCGACCCACTGTACAATAGCTCGTCCAATCAAAAATTCGCGAAGTAATATAAGCTGTGCCTTTTTGTCAATCAAAGATTTTTCAGCCAATCAAATCGCGTCAGAGGGCGACATCCGTCACACCATAGTTAATATCACTAGCCGTGTATAGGGCCCAGATAGTTGTTGATTCGCATTAACATAACGTAAAGCACCAGGCCGCAGCGTTTTGCAATTCAGATCAGTATTAACTTATGTAGAACGACTTCTTACAACAATTTAATGTGGAGCTTCTACAAGACCTGAATTCATGATGACCATGGCAACTAGCGCTGGACTTTACATGCCCGGCACCCCTCCCTCGTTAAATTCGCCCCTCGGAGACCCTGTACATGGAATGCAGTGCTCGGTGGGCCAACAGCCCCAATATATCCATAGGACTGATATTCAGGAACTTAAATATATGCCTCCCCAGGTACAAAATGGACATTTTAACAGTCATTGGGGTATCCCGACCAGCGGTGAATCCTGGAACACAGGGATGCCTCAGTTACACGATATGCGCGATTTGAGAGACAATTTTGTCCGGGATACCAGGGACATCAAACCGGGTCAAGGTAACGAAATGGGCCATCAAGTCACCCTCCATCATCGGGGTCCGCAGCAAATTCATGCCCCTCATGGTTGGAATGCCCCCATTCCCGGTGGACACTTAAATGGCGGGGGCCAACTTCAGCACCACGGGTATGGTGTCCCCCTGAACGGCATGCTATCCCCTCACCAACTTCCCCACGTAATGAGAGACCCAGAACATGATTTGGACCAACATACCCCATCAGATGATGATGCACCTTCATCGGATGACCTCGAGGCATTCGCTAAACAGTTCAAGCAAAGGAGAATAAAATTGGGATTTACTCAGGCTGACGTTGGACTTGCACTTGGTACATTATATGGTAATGTATTTAGTCAAACAACAATTTGTCGCTTTGAAGCTCTTCAGTTAAGTTTTAAGAACATGTGCAAGTTAAAGCCTTTGCTTCAAAAGTGGTTGGAGGAAGCAGATTCTACCACAGGCTCAACTACTAGTATAGACAAAATTGCAGCACAAGGCAGAAAACGGAAGAAGAGGACAAGCATAGAAGTGACTGTGAAAGGTGCATTAGAAAATCACTTTATGAAACAACCTAAGCCTGCTGCACAGGAAATATCTCAGCTGGCAGACCAATTACAACTCGAGAAGGAAGTAGTCCGAGTTTGGTTTTGTAATAGGAGACAAAAGGAGAAACGAATGACTCCCCCGGGCCAGTTAGGGGCAAATGGGGAACTCATCATGCCGGACAGTGAGGATGGAAATTCTAGAGCGGATAGTCCGTTACAATCACGACCTAATGGTGCCATGAACGGTTCTGAACATGGCGGACTTAACATGGCTGTTTCTACAGCACAGTCTTTAATGTCACCGAATTACCATTCCGTGGGACAGTTATTGAATGCTCATAATCCGCAATCAGGTGGACACCCGCATTTTAACACACAAAACCATTCACCGACGCACTGACTAGAATTCTAAATTCCGATTTCTTCTGAAGTTGTATGAAAACTAACTCGCCGCCACCATTCCTGAAAGCGTCCGGAGATCTCACTTTACCCCCACCACCGTTGGAAAGCAAAAAAGGACTTGATCTGGACAGACGGACAAAGGAGTGGTGATCTCTCGAACTCCCTTTGTCCATGATGGCCAAAATAGCAGCGAATGTTCTCCGTTCCCGAAAGGACATGACAAACAGATCGCGTTTTAAATGTGTGGACCGACAGATCTTTATTGGGTCGTTAATTCAGTGATAGCCCGATACTTAGCCTGGTCAAAAGTGCGAAATGACCTAATATTGGAGAAATATTTATGCCATATTTGTGTGTTGCAGACCGTTTGTGTATTCATATTTATATGCGAAACAGAAGTAGAATTTGATTCTAACTTTGTATGTGTGTGTATTTCCGCGTTTGATATGAGTGTCTTGAGTATTTCTATATAATATCATTGTTATGTTTCGAAGAAAAAAGAGCGTTGTGTGACTTTGTCTGGACTTGTGGTTTATACATAAACTGGATAATTTGTTAAAAGTGCCAATTTATAAACATTCACCCTCTGTTTCTCATATGGATCGATGTCCATGTAATATAATGCAGATCATAGGGTAATTATAAAAAAAAATTGTTTTATATTTCCAGTTTTGTTTTTCCAAACATAAGATTAAAAAATATAATGTAAGTAACTCTTATTACATTTTGATCGTTAAGGAAAGGTAGTTTATTTTTTGGTGCTTAAATTTAATTTAATTTTAAAAAGATATATATTTAAAAAAACATCAATAATTTTTTCTCGTTTATTTGGAACCCATCAAACATAATTGCATAAATATTTCGGAAAATTATAGGGGACGATATCGGTCTATGGTGTAGTTTCCTTATGGGAGTCTTTATTTAACATCATTAAACATTTACACAACATTGCTTTGGAGAAAAATGGTTTTGGGAAGAGAAGTCACGGTTTACTAAAGATATAATTCGTTGAGTAAATATTGAAATTGACTAGAGTGTTAGTCTTGAGTCTCGCTCGTTAATAATGGCGGGTGTACATCTTAAATAGGATTAAAAAGATAAGCTTTTCCAATATTTAATCAGAAAATGTCTCGAATTGAAGTTTTTAACGTTTTGATTTAATAATTGTGTTGATTTTTTTTCTTGATGGACATTTTTATAATTTAAAATTATACATACATTCTGTTAACGTATATTAGTTGATTTTCTCTTTTTTAAAAAATGGCTCTTATAAATATTTATTTGTTATGAACTTTCACTGTTATTGTTTACGTTAGTGATGAGTAAACTATTGTACTCGGGGTCTGTAATTTCTGAAACATTTCATAATCACTTTTCAAAGTGCATTATCAACCCAGCTAATTTAATGTTGATATTTGTAAATTTGTGGCAAATTATGCGTGCATTGGTGATACAGATAGGCCTTAATGAGAGCGATATGAGAACTGATTAAACCATCACTGGGAAAAAAAGCACGAATAGTCCTCTACCAGCAGACGATAATCGCCTCAATAGAAACAAAATCAATCTTTATTTTTACCCGTAGAATGGTCCGTCAATTAGAGCGAGAAATTGATAAAAATTAATAATCATTTTCAATGAAGATTAGCCCTTCTCGTTTTCCGATGTGTCGTGTATATTTTTTTTCTCTCTAATAAATGATCCTTATGAGTGCAAAAGAACAAAACTGGAAATTTGTGATGATTTGTTTGCAATGAGAGTTGTGTACCATGCAGTGGACTTTTTTGCCAGTATAATAAATATTTTTACAAATGCAAAATAATACTTTTCCTTAATTGTATAACAAGCATAGAAAGGATGTGGTCGGAAGAGAAAATATCACCATGTGTTTTTTTTTAAGAACAAACTGAAAATACATTGTCGGGCAAATCCAAGATTAATGTGGTTAAATTCAGACCTCGTTTTGACAAAACGTCACATATTTTTGTGAAGTGTAAATCTAGTCTTTAATGGCGTCGACATTTTTCGATGCACATGGTTTAATTTAAAATCGTTCAAGAACCATGATTCCTCTTCATTCTTTTCTAAATTATCTATTTTATTCTAAGTTCCGATAATGTATTTTCCACACTGCTAATCTCCGCCGGAATTAATCCGGTTACCCTCCACAGGATGACGGTTTTCGTAATTAGGTATATCAAACTTTCTGGAGACTCCGATTGATATATCAGCATGAGTAAACCACAGGAAAAAAATATTCCCCTCTCCCACTAAAACGTATTATATGTCTCAAAGTTAACAAGCCGGAAAGTCGTGAAGTTAACGATGAACTATCACACCTTCACACTCTCTGCTTCATAGATATTTACAAAAGATGAATTTGGTGATACGTCTAGCATTCAAGCAAGTCACTGTAGAATCAGTCACTCGCTAATTCAACTGTATTTTCACTACATATTTTGGATGTATCCAGAAAAATCTCAGATAGATAACTTTAATGTCCAAAAGATATTTCTTTTTGTCTTCTTGCTTACTGTGAGTCATGATATGACGTAACGGATAGATTATAACTACTGAAAGCACACATTACGTAATGCATCTATAAAGTTATTTAACAAAACTTTGTCTGAAAATTCATTTTTATTTTCATAAAATACTGAAGTGTCATCTTCTCGCCAAGATTATTTTACAAACCCCTGTAATCTTTTAAATTTCTTCCTTTTTAAATTACGTATAATTTGTTAAATTTCCCCCTTCCCAATACCAAGTTTATGTATGTAAAATGACATAGCACTTACTTTGATAAATTTATCAACTAAATCCGTTTTATACATACTTCATTAAATATATGTTTAAAATCTTAATCGTATAGATAATTTTTAATGGCATATTATTAACTTTCGTTTCCAATCAATTACTGACGTGCATTAATGAAGAAAATCGAATAAATTGGGTATTTTTCTATTACAAAATTTGAAATTATACTTTTTTTACCAGGTTGATATATCAACAACGATCTACCTAATGTGCAATTAGCCCTGTTCCATTTAATTGGTTACAAAATTGCAATACATTACCGTTTTTTTAAAAATATTTTTTTAAGTTGACAAAATTTTATGGTTTTAAAGTTCAGACATTCTAGCGGATTATTAATATATTTAGGAACAAAAAGACATGTTTATCCTATATGTATAGTGTACTTCTATTACTTATGTAAAGTTGCAATTACATTTTCTAAAAGGAGCTTGAACACTTTAATTAGAAAATTTAATTAACAGAGTATTTTTAAATTTGATTTATTTGTGTGATTTATTACTTATTTCTGTTGCCATTTTTTTTTTAAATGATATTATATGCATACATCGAATTCAAATTTACGTTAATTTCTCATATAATCCAAATATCTATCAATTTACTCCAAAATACAATTCCACTACAGATATATTTCTAGAAGAAAGCTGCAGAATATTAGTTAAAAAAGTACACAAATATACTATAGCGTAGTCAGTGATACATATATACGAAAGATCAATACCCCACTACTAACCCGGCTTCTTCTTACAATGGATTGATCTCTGTTCTCGGATTGGCTGGCGCTGTGTAATATTATGTCCACAAGTGAATCATATATAATTTATTAGAAATTAAATGATGTATTTGGTATCAATTATAAACTGCATCGATGTTTTTATTATTGAAGAGGTTTACAAAAAGTATGTCTTGTGCTCTAATTGCAATTTAAATTTATAAAAGAAATATTTATTTAGAAAATTTATCAGCCATGTACATTTTCAGAAAAAAGCTGCACATGAATATAATGATCTTACTATATAGTGAAATTGAATTAGAATTAAATTGACTACAATTCATTACAGATCAATAAAATAATTGTGTTTACCTGAAGTCGCTAGCTACTTACGATAGACCGAAGTCATATTAAATACTGTGACTAAATTATACTCTATTTATGATATAGTATTAAAATAATCATATGCATGTATTTCACCTTCAACGTGCACAAATCACCCACTACAAATAAACCTGCATATATTGCACTTAGGAAAACTCAAGTCAAATACATCAATATGGTACATATTTGTAACAATTTACATTATGTCCTTAATTTGTAATTACAGGGAACCAATTAACATGAGTTACACGTACACAAAGTTCAGTGGTTTGTCGTTCAGTGTATTATACGGATTCTCACCTCATGTCATGTATTACGTAACACGTAGAAAGGTGTGTTATACCCCGGGTCTTATACTAATCGACCAGGAAAACATACTCCAGGCAAAACATCTTGTTTGTGGTTGTTATTGCATTTAACTAGTATTTTATCCCAATTAATCTAGTATTTTTTCCTTCAATAAATTCGAAAAAAAAGCTTTATAGGTTTCTTCCCCAAAGTTGAGGTTAAAAAAGAAAAATGAATTAAATGTACAAGAGATGAATTTTTACATCGAAGTAATGCCTAAAAATATACGTAGCTGGAGTAACATTTTGGACATTTCAAGTTACTCTAGTACCATGCATGAAAGCCTAAATTTTCTGCTCTAAACATTAAGTAAAGTTTCTTCCTTTTTATCCTTCAGAAAGACTTCAGCAGCAGCTAAGAGTTTTGCCAATAAAGATGAAGACAAAATTGCCTACTTTGAAATGTGAATTAATGGGATACTGATTGTGTTGGTCACCTACAAGCAAACTATCAATAACCACAAGGCTATTTCAGGCCATATCAGGTCAGTTGAAACCAATGAATGTGTCGTTAATTTGGGTCACAAGTTATACGATGTTTATGGTCGTCCGTCTATCGCCTCGGGCTCGTGATTGTCAGTGGTATAGATAGCCGTGACTGGACCAGCCTTCCATCCTCGGGTTCGGAAGCTAATCATTTATCGCTGTTGGAAATCTGTGAAAATTGACAAGATGCTTTTGTAAACATGATCCCTGTTCCTCCCTCACCTTATATCGGGTTCAAATAAAGATTTTTTTTAACTACCGGTGAAAACTGGACCACAGTCCAGAATTAAAATCACGTGACAGATGCAGGTGTTGATGAAAACCTATAGACTTAAAGATACGAAACGCGTATGGGAATTCTTTTTTATCATCCAATCCATGAAAAGAAAAATTAAAAGTTTAGAAATGTTGAGGCCAATATGCATCAAATGGAGAAAACATTTTATGCATTCAATGCAAAAAATGGTATCAAATATTTATATCACTTCTTCCATTACAATCGGATGCACTTAGTCTAATCGCATCTCTATCTTGCTAAAGTTCTAATGGAAATATTTTATCTGAACATCAAAGAAAGAAAAACAACACTCTTATTAGCTGTTATATATATAAGGTGATTTAGAAAGTTTCTATCGTCCCAAGACAAAACTGGAACATCACAGAATTTTACAATGCGAGAAATCGTAAAAATATTTGACTAGGGGCCTTTGATTTTTCCTCTCGATCTCGGCCTCCATTGCAAACGACTGCCGAAAAGTGTCTCAGAAATTTTACAACAAAAACAATAAAATTTTGCCCGAGTGTTTTTACGGAGTATTAAGAAAGAAAGGGATGGTTGCTCTTCAGACAGGAGATTTATTTGGAATTTTATTATTGTTTACCGTATTTGAAAATCTAATAAAACTTAAGAGCTCTAAAACTGCTTTGATCGAAGTTCTCCATTGGTATCGCGGAAGCTATGATATGTTTTTTCAAGTGATCATAACATCTTCTGTAAATTTGTCGAGAACGGTACCGGTGTGATCGGGGTAAAATTACCAAATGCAGATAATTTTCCCAGGCTTAACAGTGATCTTAAGATATGATACCTAATTTATCATATCCTAAAATACTTATATGTTCATTTAAAAAAAAAAATCATCTTTACTGCTGCAAAACGAGAGCAATAATCGGTGAAAGGTTGTACAAATTGTTATTTGTAATTCTGTCCTAAAATTAACCTTGTTTTACGTAAAAATCAAAATTTAGTTTGGTATGTTTCCATAGCAAAAATAAATTTGAAATGAACACAAACTGAAACGAATTTTGTTAACATATAGATTTTTCCGATATATGGATACAAGGGGAAAAAAAAGTAAAACTTATCAAAGATAGACACGCGAGAGATTTTGAAAAAAAGAAGAAAAAAATCATGCATGCTTTTCAATATAGTAGTAATTCAACAGACATTTATAGTGTGATAACACAAGAATTTTTTTCTTAAAAATCCATTTTAATTTGACGGTGAAAATCATATGAATTCGTAATTTGATTGTTACAAAAAATGTAGGGAAACTATTTGTGATGTAAATATAATTATGAAAGACTGTATTTGAAGCGCAGATACACACAATGCTTGTAAAGGTTTTTAGAAAATTGAAAAAAAAAATGGCTTTCAATTAATATGAAATTAATTAGTAATGAATTTTAATATTTTTTTATTGATTAATTTATGCTTCTATCCAGTTTTCAGAAGCATTGCTCATCAAAAGAAAATCTTCCTAAAGATGAAGAAAAAATAATTATGAACATTGAACAAGAAGATAGTAAATACCGTTTAACTTAAAATCCGTTTGTCATAAAAGGCAAGAGTTCCCTTAAATATCTAAAGAAATATTCTTCATAAATGTTTGGTGAAATATGTTACAATTAAATACAATAATCCGTAGCTTAACAACATGCAAATGAAATGCAATTTTTGAAATAAATATATGCAAAATAGCTCATAGCGCGAAACTTCTCAGCGTGTGATGTTTCATGATTTCGCCGACAAGCACGTGTGTTTGTTTACACTTCTTGAATGACCCAATGGCGCTTTCCGCGTGTTTTGCCCTTTAAGTAAATTGATGTGAATTCATAATTGTTTTCTGATTATAAATGCAATTGAATTACCGTATTTTACCTTGTTGATATGGCAGCGGATCAGTGGTTATGTAAGCAGCTTTTATGGGCTGAATTTTGTTAAATAGTAAGTCCATAAAATTTATTTGACTTTGAAATGAAACATCTGGAGCTAGTTTTTTGTTTGTTTGTTTGTTTTTAAATAATGTATGTATGTCTTAAAATGATATTTGTTAATAATGGTTTATTTACATGAAAAAAAAATTACTTGATGGGTCTCTTAATTTAATGCTAGTTGTTACACAATAGTGTTTATTTTCGGCGAGATTAAGGAAATGCACATGAAAAACAGATTCAGTTGATTAAATTGTATTTTTCATTAAAGCTTAAACCTTTAATACACGTTAATTATCGCCATTAAGCCACAATCACAAATGTTATCGGACTATCATTTTCTTCCAAGTGAAACAAAGTCAACATTTCTCTTTGCCGAATCCATTCAATACACAATGATGCTTGATAAGAATCTATTTTCACACCTTATCGGATGCAAAATCAAATTAAAATACCCATTTTTCCCTAAATCCAATTCACTTCTCGGTATTTAGGACCTGAAAATGGAGGTCATTATAAATAACGGTTCTGCAGAGAACACTTTATTTAGCTTCAAAACTCCTGAACACATTTTAGCACATAAATTTCAGAGAAGAGGGTTTAATATCCAATTAATGAGTGTAACTGTATCACGTTAATCTAACTTGTCCAGATCAACTAGCAAGAAGTAGCGACATACAGATTCCTTGATCTGCCAAGCGACTCGATCAGAAATTGACCCGACGTGTCCCGAGAGAAATAAAACAATCTCCTTCGGATCGGAACGGACCGATCAGAATAAGGACCGAATTTCGAGCGAGTCACAGCAATCAATGTTTCTGGTAAACTTAGGCTGCTTTGAGCGAAAATTTAAACATTTTTTTTTTCTTATTTGATTATGGTACAATGAGACAATATATTGAATTCAAAAGGAAAGGGATTTGTACTGAAGTTGCAGTTTTGTTTTTAGAGCGAGACGTTTGACGTTTAAGGATAGAATTCACGGCTGACTTCCTGTGAAACAATATTTCACGAGTCGTATCATTTTATGGTCCATGGTCTGTGGATACGACGTTCATTTAACTTTGTGGTTTTTTTTCCTTTATAGCACACAAAAAGATGGAAAAAAGAAGGAAGGGGGAAAGAAATCGACACTGGTTTTGATAGCGAAATCAGATAAAGTGAAGAACCCAGCGTGCCTATCATAAACTGAAAAGTATTATTTCGTGTAAAATGCATGTCTATTACTTGAAGCAAGAAGGACTCCATTTTCAAAAACCAGACACCCTAGAAGAATTATCGTTCAATATTACAGCAACAACAAAGTCTGGATTGGGAATAACATATAAGAACGTATACATGCATGTATATGAAACGGTCATAATTATATATGAATTAAAAGTTTGACTGATAAGAACAAAACTCATCTCCTGGGCATCTAAATCTAATCATTGATCATAAATTTAAGGACATCGCTTTTCCTATCCCCCTTTTAGAACCAATTCGTAGTTGGTTTTTTATTGTTCCTTGTTTTGGTTGGGGTGCGCATCAAACGTTGCGAAGAGCTATGAATTAAACCACGATACTAACCAAGTATTTACATAGAAAACACAATAAAGACATTATGAACATAGGACCCTCTTTCTGTAAATTGCTTCACCCTTAGATACAAGGCAGGGATTGTAGCCGGACAAAAAATGAATACTCGTTCTTTTTCGTCAGGATTAATTGTACAATTCTTTCAGCAATAGGAAACTGGACCATTGGAAGAAAATGCAATGCCCACCAAAGCATGTTACATTACAAATCTTATTTCATATGACGTCATATGATGCCTTCATTCCAACAAATCAACATGTATATTTGCAAAGAGGGGAAATGTGTTTATTTATCCATGCATGTAAATATGTGACGATATATTCTAAAATAAAATCTTCTAATATACATCCCATTTTTTTTCTTTTTGTATCGGTATTTTACCATAGTGTTACAAATGCAGAGTAAACATTTATCAATTTAAAAAAAAAAAGGAATCATCTGTGCATGTGATACTTTCATATTACAACAATAATAACGTGCAAAAGCAATGTTTTCAACAACGATTAAGAACTATAACAAGACATAAAAATTTTGTGTTATTTGGAAGTAATTAACCTTAAGTACGTTCGATACCTCCAATGATAATACCAATTGTTTTTGTCAGCAAGAGATGCATGTCGGGTCAGCAGTATAAAATATAGCTGATGATGTACAGCGATGATATTTTGATCGGGGAGACGCCCCTAATAACATTTACCCCCGATACTAAACAAACGTTTTGTCGTCAAATCAAACAAGTCTCCCATGCTATTGTTTGTTAATCAATCAATTCTCAAGTAATCCTGTCGTTAGTTGTATGTGCAAGAAAACATCACAGGTCAGGATTTCAGTATGCTTTCGTTTAGAACGTTAGCTCAACAGCCAATATTTACTTTCTCTGCCTATTCAAACCCGATCAGAAGACAGCGATTTGTCGTGGAATGTGCGCCCTATCCAAGTCAGAGAGCCATTGCCTTCTGTTTGAGGTTGAAGCTTGCTGGAGGTTTTTGTTTTGGTAAGGTGATGTATTGTCTTCGTAGTTCAAACAGATAACGAGCTGTCATTGTGTAGACAAGAAGTCTTACTAAAGTGACGATGAGAACACTTAAGCGGAAGAAGAAAATCCGTCATTTTGGGTGACGCTATTTACCCAAAAAATTGAACTCTCAAACTTTTCTTCAAACAAACCAATTTGTGGTGCACTTTTATGGTAGGGAATTAATGCGTCAACGAATAACTCACCTAATGCTATCACCTCTTATATATAAACAAAACAAAACAAAAATGAAATATGATACAACTTCTTGAGAACAATGCAAAATTAATTAATTGACTTTTGAACAACAATGGCTTTTTTGTTGGAGACGTTTCAATATATTGAGTACATATGTAGTTGAAAGTTAAAAAAAAATATAGTTATACCATTTGCACTCTGTGATTCTTAATGTGCATCAGGGTCATCAAGTAAAGGAGAATCAAAGGTCATTGAAATAGATCAGAGCTTTACCATTTACGTTAGCCTGATGATCTAAACTCAATTTTGCCCGACACTTTCGATAGTTAAAAGTACAGTCCTCTATTCCCACAAACTCCCCTGGCTCCATGAAACATCTTAAGTTTTAAGTGAGTGAGAGGGCAAATAATAAAAATAAAACTGCTAGTCAACCTAGCATCATCAAACTGCTGTTGTCTGCAAATTGAGAGGTTCAGTTAACAAGTATTAAATATTTTACATGTGATTGAAATTTTGACATAAGTCTAAGTCTGTTTCATTACCCTTGGGCCTGGCACCTGTGCTGATCCACAGCAAGCTTCCCGAAACATGTTTGTAGTCTTATTGCCATTCATCAAATGTGTAATATAAAAGGGCTTTAATATTTAAATGAGTAACTTCTTTTTCATAGATAACATTTTTCACTGTCCACTTAATTTAAACTAAACTTTCAAAAGCTTATAAATTTAACACGAGTTTTGCCCACTGTAAACTGGTGGTCTGTCATACCACTAGTTTCCAAAGAGGTTGATGTCGGTTAGTAATGTTCTTGCACATGTTTTTATGAAAAGAAAATATGTATAAAAAAAAAACAAAACAAACCAAACAAACAAACAAAATGTTTTTATCTCTGTATGCCAAATTTAATGATAATCAGAAAGACCAATCATTTCAAAGACCTTTCTAGAATCGACCTTGATTTTTTTCCAGGGAATTGTAGATATTGTAATTAAGAAAAGCATGGGCAAGTTTCTGTATAGTTTTGTTAATGCTTTCATGTGATTAATTATTGTTCATCTTAATTTCTTTAGAATATATTCAATTCGGAATGTATATACTCGTATACACGTATATCTCTAGAAATGACTTAATACCTATACCCATGTACCTGAATGTACCTGAATCTGCTTTGCAGCATATATTTCATATGATAAACTAGATCTGTAATTAAACATGTAATCGTAGAAGTCAGTTGGTCTTATGTTGCTTTATGATAACTGTATATCCAATACATTTGATACACTCTATGACATCGATAAATTTTCAAAAGCGCTAAGTCGTAACAAGCCTTGTTAGTTTCATGGGATTCAAAATGCTAAATAATCATTAAATTACTCGGTAGTGTGAGATTAAAATAACCAAAGGAGTCTTCTTTGATACAAGCCTTTAAATTTACCGTAAGATATTTTGATATGCAAATTCAAGTATACATCAATTCTAGTTTGTAACGAGGAGGCAAAATAAACATTGTATAAATCACTTCAAAGTTACTACATCTTTAAGGATCTTAAAGGGCAATTATCTGGGTCGCAATCATAAGAAATGTGTTTATTTATAAATTCAATTTTTTACTGGTCCATAAAATCATATCATCTTGATCGTACGTCGGTTAATCAAGAATAGAGAGGTATTGTGTATAACACAAAATCAAATAAACGTTGTATATCATTCTCAATTCATGTTTTATTATATGTATAAAATACTATTAACTTTAAACGTAACATTTACGTCAAGTGACTTTGAAAATTTTGTATTTGCATCTAAAACATGATAGTAAAGGGAAAAAAAACAGTAAACAAGCAACAAGCAGTTCATGAATACTAGAGGTGTTTTGCATCTCTGCATGTGACTTATCTTTGCAATATCTAAAAGAGAAGCCTGGCTGATTTGGATGATCTGTAAAATGATCATGAAGGGAATTCCCCTTTACCATTTATTTCAATGGGTTTTATTTCCTTGTTTGAGCATGATTTTTCGCTGTTGATATCAAATAAATACTTTTATTTTTATTAAGTGGGTTTTTTTAGCGAATTAAACGATTATGTCACACGATAAATTAACGACGGCACCTTCATTATCGGGGGAAAAAAATGTAATCTTAATGTGACGAAAACCCTAGTGTGTTTTCTGTACACGTTATCTACTAAAGGATGATAGAGAAATTAAAAAAAAGCCTTGTGTGTTTCACGTTGAAACATGCATCGTACATTAAAATAAAATGATATGACATAATTTGTTTGTATTGAACAGAGTGTTCTGATACCATCAGCACAATATAATTTAAAGGTCTCGACTATTTTTTTTTTCCTTTTGCAAAATATTTGATTTTTTTAACTTCTAGAATGAACTGAATGTTATAATGCATTTATTGAGAAGGAACCAACTAATAGTATCCTATATCTTTGCAGAAAGATTATCTACAATGTAAGTTGTTGAAAGTGTTAAACAATATCCACACTGGATTCGGCAATAATTATTTTTTTTAAAAAGGATAACATGAAGCATCTTACAAAATCAGTGGTTTCATCAGTCCCTTAAATTATACAATGTATTGAGTCTTGTACGCCAGCTCTGTACGCTTAGTTGACAGTTAGTATGGAAGTAAAGGGGTAAAGTACTCTAACAACTAGATTTATTTTGAAGATGAATTGAAAACATAAGAACATTTTTTTGAGTCAAAGCAGGGACCTATATACTAAGTCAAAACAACATATTTCAGTGAATAAACATAGTATTTCTAATATAACAGATGTGCCCTAGCGTACTTGGTTCACTCGTAAATCAATGTCGATTTTCCGCGATCCTAGATTATAACACCCACGAGTTTACCATGTCTCGTCTAGTCACGTTAGCGAGACTTTGTAACCTTGTTCTGCCGGGCCTGCTTCGTTTCTGTATTGTCCGGCCCAATACTTACAAATTAAATCATTACTTGGAATCTACAGCTATTGTGCGCGACGTGACTTTTATTTCCCAAAAGGAAAGTATCTGCAAGAAATGTCGATTTCTTTTTACACGAATCGTCCATTGTATTCCAACAGAAAATAGCCACTTTAACGTTGCTTCTTTTATTCCGCTCCGAGCCTGACCGTTCAATATCAACAATTGAGTCTTTAATTCAATTAATCCCCTCTCCACTCTCCCGATGAAGATGCTGGTATTTCATTGGCATCTGTCCACTATACGGGGAGATTAAATCAACGTCCAAGTCCTCCCATCTCATCATTCCGAGCTTGATTTGATCGAGCGAGAAAAAACTGTACTTCCTGAGCTGTTACGTTTATTCTATCGCCATATATTTTCTTATTTTCTCACTAAACATTCTTTAAGTTCTAAGTTTATATTCATTTTCAATGTTTTTAATTTTTTTTCTTTAACTTTATTCTCTACCATTGTATAAGTTTTTTTTTTTATCTTAATGGCAAATATTAAAAACAAATTTTCATATTTCAATCTGATTTCGAAGGACAGGAATGCATATAAGGATTCACTAAAGAATTTCTGCAAAATCTCTGAAAAGCGGAAGTAAAGACGGAATTAATGAATCCGTGAAATAATAGCAAGTTCGATTACGTTGGATTCAAACACCCCCACATGTCTTTTACGTGAACATCTCAAAGTAAAAAGATAATTTCTTATTATCAATTATTTAAATTTAATGGCAAATAAATTGCAACATGAAAAAATAACGAGGAAATAGTATTATTTCCACCATTTTGCAAGCATCTCAAGTTTTTTCAATAGAATGTCGCGGTTTGTCTACCATAGCAGTGCATTTCAATTTTTTCCCTTTGGATCTTTTTGCAAAAAAATATTATGTAATAAGTTCCGCATATAATCAAAAGAAACGCTTAAATTGAATTTTATATCAATTAAAACCAAAACCATTAACAATAGAATACAGCCAAAATTGGAATTTTATTGTTGTGACATGTGTATAGCGACAAATTACTTAGTACAAATTAGATTGAATCACGTGTCTAGCCACGTGTGAACATAATGGCGAGCATGCCTTAAGCAATATTAATTTCTTAACTATACAACAAACTATGAATTCATTAAGACACAACAGTCAAAATAAAACTATTTTGGCAT